TCATATCATATTAAAGCTAAAATCAAGACAAACAAGAAACCTATCTGACGTTTTTACGTATTACTAACGGCTTAGACACTATTCAAGTATATTCAGAGCTCTGCATTAACTCACTTTTTTCTGCCGTCAATGCCACTACAAATGCCTATAGTCGGCGCACGTGCGCTTGTCGAGCGGGGACCACCAGTCGGGCGATTCGGAGCTGCCGCCCAATCAGAACGCCGCAATGCCGTGACGTCATTGGTCGCACACGACACGTTACGGAGATAGGGATGAGACAGCCCTGGCGTGCGCCATTCGCAGCTGGGCTGGCTGCCAGTAGCGCCGGCTCTCGATGACACGTCTATGGCGGAGTGGGAATGGGCGTGAATTGATGCGGGTGCCTATACTTTAGCATAAGTGACCAACAGTCAGCTGTTTCTACTTTGATATATTTAGCCTGGCTCTGGAATAGCCACACTTGAGTGGAACGGGTCTAATTGGGACGTGAACTAAATAAATGTATAACTAAATAAAGCGGCGGTACATGCATGGGTAAATCACTGAACAGTTTCAAATAAAAAAGGTATTTATGGTGTGCATATGATCTATAAGCTTTTTGTCAGCGTGCGAGGCCTTAGAGCTAGCCTCCTTTGTTTTAACATCACGGACGGCACGTATGCCACCCACATGCTGCACACTTGTTTTTATTTGGCCCGATCGCTCTGAAATTTCTCAAACTCCCTGACCGGTCAGTGAGTTTGCAAACTCCCTAGTGAGTTTGCAAACTCACTGATGGGTCAGGGAGTTTGCAAACTCCCTAGGAAGTTTGCAAATTCACTAGGGAGTTTGCAAATTCACTAGGGAGTTTGCAAACTCACTGACCGGTCAGGGAGTTTGAGAAATTCCAGAGCGATTGGGTCAAATAAAATCAAATGTGTAAGATGAGGGTGGCATACGTGCCGTCCGTGATGTTAAAACAAAAGCGACTAGTGGTACGGCCTATATAACCGTCGCACGCTGATATAAACCTTACAGATCCTTCATTGTTTTACCAAAAAAAAAAAAAATGCTTCTCGCGGCTATGTAAAGGGGAAGTTCGGAGCAACGTGCTCCTCCGTTCCGTCGTTTCCATCCTCAGGAATCAGGATACTGAAATCCTTCTCGTCCACGCCGAAACCCCCACTCCCGGGCTGGACAGGCACCTTTATCTCATGCGGGCTGCTCCCTTGGAGCGGCACCGCTGCTCCCGAGGGAGCGCACCCCGTAGCCGGGTGCAAAGAGTGCTTGGGGGGCTGGTCGGTCTGTCAATTCGGACGGGCTCAGCCCCGGCGACTCTGCATATAGGGTGTCTGCCCAGACCAATGTCTCCCCCTATAATTCCTATCATTCGTCCGACTCTGAAATGGTCTTGTCAGACCGAAAGGGCCTAACCCAACAAAACGAAAACAAACAAGCAGCGTGCGCCATTCGCAGCTGGGCTGGCTGCCAGTAGCGCCGGCTCTCGATGACACGTCTATGGCGGAGTGGGAATGGGCGTGAATTGATGCGGGTGCCTATACTTTAGCATAAGTGACCAACAGTCAGCTGTTTCTACTTTGATATATTCAGCCTGGCTCTGGAATAGCCACACTTGAGTGGAACGGGTCTAATTGGGACGTGAACTAAATAAATGTATAACTAAATAAAGCGGCGGTACATGCATGGGTAAATCACTGAACAGTTTCAAATAAAAAAGGTATTTATGGTGTGCATATGATCTATAAGCTTTTTGTCAGCGTGCGAGGCCTTAGAGCTAGCCTCCTTTGTTTTAACATCACGGACGGCACGTATGCCACCCACATGCTGCACACTTGTTTTTATTTGGCCCGATCGCTCTGAAATTTCTCAAACTCCCTGACCGGTCAGTGAGTTTGCAAACTCCCTAGTGAATTTGTAAACTCCCTAGTGAGTTTGCCAACTCACTAGGGAGTTTGCAAACTCACGGATTTCTCAAACTCCCTGTAACATATATATATATATATATATATATATATATATATATATATATATATATATATATATATATATATATATATATATATATATATATATATATATATATATATATATATATATATATATATATATATATATATATATATATATATATATATATATATATATATAGGGTGGCACTTAAAAATCAATTTTTGATTTTTAATGCGTGCGGGTGGTTTTCCGGTTCCATTCCCGTAAAAAATAAGGGAGGCAAATTTTTATGGGAAAATATTGATGTTTAGAGGTCGCGAAACAAGGTCAAAATTGAGATTTTGGTAGCATATTTCAATATCATTAAAATCGCTTCTCAGTTTCCTATTACGCTATAATCGGATGATAATAAGGCATTTCTTAGTCATTTTCATATTGTTTATTGATATTCCATGCAGCTTCGGCCACGCCAGAACGCTGGTCTCAGAACTCCACTACTCCAGTTCCTCCTCTTTAGTAAATTATTGGCGCCTCATTGGAGGGAGGGGTATCATGGGCAACGGGCACCCAGATCACTTTGTGTGTAGCCTGGTTAGCAATTGCAGTCGATCTTCGGGTGTCAGGTTAGCGTTTTCTGTGATCTTTTCAACGACATGGAGGAAGAGCTGGCGCTAATCTTTGTCTTCCATGAGTGCCAGTCCTACATCAGCGCCATGCCGCGCCTGGTGAAGTCATTCACCACCCGCAGCCCCCGGACTACACGAGCTGCGGTTTGGTAGCTGCTGTCCTCCCAGTGGCCTTGGTCATTGATGATGAGCCCCGCGTCCAGGTCGTGTATCCTTGAGAGCTTTTTGAACGATGGTGTGAGGAAGCTCGCCAACGTCTCGGTCGCGAGAGCGGCGTTCATAGTGCCCACTAAGGACTTATGGGGCGGGTCCCCTCTCCTACAAGTCTATTGCCCGCACCATGTCTTGATTGAGCCCAGGGTCGGGGTCTAAAAGCTCCAGAGTCACCAGCCGATCACTCAATTACTACAGGTGACGGCCGAAGACCGGGACTGTCGCCTTCGACAGCTCCTTGTCGGGGTAGGTGCAGAACGAGTTCACGAAGGTCAGGTCCAGAGCGGGCGCAGTGGCAGTAGAGTCCCAGACCAGGCGGCGGCGGCGGCGGCGAACTTGCAGGCAACGAACAGCGCGAGCGCACAGCGTCTGATGACCTGGGCCTCGGCCGCCGTCAGCCGGAGCCGCTCCCTGAAGAGGAAGGCATCCACGGTACGGATGGTCTTTGCCATCCACCTAACTCAGTGGAGTACTCTGAGGCGGAGAAACGGATGCCGTGCTTGGAACTCCACCGAGAGCAGTTACGCAGAGCTCCAGAAGTTTTCGGTAGTCTTCCCGGAGCTAGGCATAGTCCAGCGATGGAAGCGATGGAAGCTGACCAGCAGCTTGTCCCACTCCGGAACGTCGTCGACGGCGAACGCCACCGGTGTGATCCTGTCAATGAAGCATGAACTCCCACCCGCCTTTGAACCTCTTAAACAGCCGGATGTAGAGGCCGCTCGAGATTCTACGGCAGGTGGAGCAGGCCTTCTCTAGGACCAGCTCTTACACGTGGTGCCGGCAGGCCAGCTGGAGGACGGGCCGATCCAGCTTCTGCTCGATAAGGGCTAAAGTACCGTTCACCAGCATGCTGTTCACCGTCGTGGCGTCGAAGCAAAAGGCCGCAGTTCCGCTTCTCCAGTTCCTAGCCCCCCAGCGCTGTGAGCATGGCCTCCTGTGCTTGTATGGAGGGGAGTTTGGGAACGGTGAGGAGCTTGGCCACCCTAATCCCCCCCCCCCCCCCCAATCACCAGGACCTAGAATCGGTCGACGCTCCTTCTCTCGCGGTTCAGCCGGAGTCGTATCAGAAGTTCCGTGCCGCAGTTGATAACAGGTTCTGGTTCACGTGTTCTTCACACATTACGGTTGGGCAGTTTGGCCCGGTCGAGGCCAGTTCACTGTTGGGGACGTCCGCTCGCCCGCATGCGCTTGGGAGTGTGAGTCGACGTTTCTCTCTCATGGTCGCCATCGTCAAAGACGTTCCCTCCGTGTGCGCGCCGCAACGGCCGGGTAAGTCTGTTGCTGGCACTGGCACTATGTAGAGTCGGAAGAAGCGCCCACGGAAGAACATCCCGAAAGCACAATAAACCAGTGCAGCTCAATGCCCACTCTCGCCTCTGCTTTCCCCCGCCGGCGATAGGCTGACTCCAACTTCTTCACATTCTCTTTGACAGAAAAGGAGCATGTCTCAAGAACCGATAGAACTGTGGGGCTCGTCCTCCCTTTGGAACAGGAGAGACCGTTCACTCCTCACACTTATAAGAGGATATGACCTCCACTGTGAGAAGGCACCGGTCGCAGGCCAAAAACAGGCCTGACATGGGTAAAACAGCCCAGATCAGACCTGTCTTGGCCTGACCTGGACTGGCTACGATCGACCGGAAGTGATGGGATAAGCAACTGTTATACAAATAAAGGTCAAAATACGTCGGATATGACGCTTAATGACCACATATGTCATTCCAAATAGGTTTAAAGTAGTTTCCAAAAAGTTGATTTATTCCCCAAAACTGCCAACTTTGACCTCAATTCGCGACCCCTAAATATCAATATTTTTCAAAATAATTTTGCACACATTATTTTTTACGGGAATGGAACCAGAAAACTACCCGCACGCCTAAAAATCGGATAACATAAAATTCACCCTATTGCTAAGTACCACCCTAATATATATATATATATATATATATATATATATATATATATATATATATATATATATATATATATATATATATATATATATATATATATATATATATATATATATATATATATATATATATATATATATATATATATATATATATATATATATATATATATATATACATATATATATATATATATATATATATATATATATATATATATATAGATGATTTACCTAAATTTGTGTCAGTGCCGTTGGTTCTGATTTGTCAGCGCTGTTTGCTTCTGTTTAAACTGCAGATCGAGGCTTTGGATGAGAAGGTGCGGGAGGAAATGAAGACGCTGCGAGAGAAAATGAGCAAGATGAGGGAGGAAATGGTCGTTCTATCTGACCTGCCTGCGCTCAAGTAAGTCGCACCTGGGGGAGGCCCCCTCCCCCCACTGAGGTTGGTCGTTAACCCAGCCAGCAAATCGGAGCCTTCCCCGTACGTGGAAGGCCTATGGCGAGCTTGGGGCAGGCTCGGGAAAACCCCAACCGTTCTCCTGGGGAAAACGGAGCGTTTGCTTGGGATTTGAGACACTTTGTACGGGGAACTTCGTGCGGGGCTCGTACGGGGAAACGGCATAACTGCCCAAGCGTTCCCCAAACGTTCCCCAAGCTACCCCCGCGCCGACTATGCTTAAAACCCGTTGTTAAGGTCGGTTCCCCGTACGGGGTTATCGAACATTTTCCCCCAAGAAGATCCTGTGCGAGCGCCGCACATTCCCCCACCCGGCTATACGGGTTTATGCTTACTGGAGACCTTCCCCGATCGGGAAACCGTAACTTTCCCCTAGCGTTCCCAGACTTTTTCTCCCGCGCGAACCGCGGCCGTTCCTCGACTTGGGAATGGCCCCACTGCCTTGTCTGCTTTTTCCTCGTACGGAGAAGCTTGTAAAAAACCGCACTGGGAAACAGATTGGGTGGCAGTCAAATTGACCATGACTATTTATTTTGTCTGTAAACATACAAATATTTGTATACACATAATGAGTAGCAGAGCGAGGGGCGCCATCTCTTGAAGCTGCAGTTGCACCAGTTTGGAGAGCTCTGGACACCCTCCTGTCTCCACGTCCACCCTCCTTCTCATCTCGTGTGACATGATCTTGGATAGGTCCACAGGCAACTCTGGCTTCCTTGGGCAGGAATCTCACAAACTCCCAGAACCGAGGAAACCCTGCCGTCTCACCTTCAGCTGGCTCGTAGAGCCTCTGGTCTACATGCCTTCTCCAGCGGTCAACAAGATTCAGATTCAGATTCAGATTCAGATTTATTCAAAAGAAGTCCACTCACCATGGCTTTTCACTCTTTCACGTCAGTTACAAGTACAAAAAGGACGAATTTAGGCCACATTCACGTTCCACACGCATACCACTCATACATCAACTCACTCCGATCATCACTGAGGATCGACAGATCCGACGACCGCTCTGACAGCTCTACGGAACCCGGGCTCACAGGGATCTGCCCCTATACCGTTGAGCAGTGTCACGCCACGGTAACACATTCTCCGCCTACCGGATTCAGTGCGTATATTGGGGCGGCTGAATAGATCGGCTTGTCTCGTTCTGTAGGTGTGCCTTTGGCTCGATCTCGGTCCAATAGTTCCACATAGGTACTCAGGCTGCTGGGTCACGATGACACTCGCCAGCGCACACACGGTGTGGTAGTCGATCAGCTGCTCTACCTTGAGCCAACGGAGCCGCTGTATCTCACCGCTAATATGGTCGAAACGGCGCTTCCCTGTCACTACACGGGCACAGAAGTTGACAATCTTCTGTACACGGTCGCGCTGGGTGACTCCGCATGAGCCGTAGACGGATAGGCAGTATCGAACCACGGACAGGACGAGTGCCTCAACAATCACCTTCAGCGTCTGTTTTGGCATGACATGGCGCGCATGAGATAACCCTATCAATATGCCTGTACACTTTCTTGTGATGTATGTCACATGTGTCTCAAAGCTGAGGTGGCGATCAATGAACACACCGAGGTTTTTAACCTCTCTCGAGTCGGCTATAACATTGCCACAGAAGCGGACAACAACAGGCGGTAGCGTACGGAGCATCGCGGGTGTTCCCAGCACAACCATCTGTGTCTTCTTGGTGTTCAACTTCATCCCGTTGTGACAGAACCAGTTGTACACATAGCTGAGTGCGTGTTCCATGCTGCTGATGATTCTCTGGATGTCACGCTTGCTGCCGGATACTAATAGCTGCGTATCGTCGGCATATTGTACAGTAGTGACGTCACTCGGCAGTCCAAGGCTCAAATCATTCGCAAACAGCATGTACATGATACAGCTAAGTGCACCGCCCTGGAACACACCGATGGTATTCTCCCTAGTCCTAGATAGCTGATGCCGTCCCCCAATAGAGCTCACGCGGACTTGCTGGGTATGGCCGTACAAATAGCTTCGGAACCAGTCCGTATCAATGCCGTACAGGGTGAGCTTCTCTAACAGTGTGGCATGCGGCACAACATCGAAACATTTCGATAGATCGAGCAAAACTAGCACAGATATTTCGCCTCTATCCATGGCACAGAGTACTCGATCGGTAACGACGTGGAGTGCTGTCTCGGTCGACCGACACTTGCGATAACCGTGCTGGGCGTCCGCGAGAAGTGCATGCTGCTCTAAATAACCGGACAACTGACACTGGACTACGCGTTCTACTATCTTCATAATGGCCGGCAGCAGCGAAATAGGCCTCGTATCAGAAGGGTCGGCAGAGATTTTACCCTTTGGGATAGGAGTAACAAGTGCGTGTTTCCAACCACTAGGGACACAGCCGGATGAAAGACTGGAGTTAACTACATCAAGCAACGTGTGACTCAGTCCGGTGAAACACCTCTGCAACATGTGCACACTTATACCGTCGAGTCCGGTCGAGCTGGACGGCTTCATGCTCATCAGTGCAGAGTACAGTTCATCCATGCTAACTGGCCCGACACGGAAACTGCATGTTAGCACTCTGGGTAGCACTGTAGTTACAGGCGTCGCGGGCGCAGGTACGCTGGCAGAAGTGCTTGGACCGACAGTTACGTAATAGTCATTGAGCGCGTCTGGGGTGATGTTCGGCACAGTGCACTGCTGCTGCTGCTTCCGACCAATCACTGGCCGCAGCACTCGCCACAGCGCAGCTCGGCCGCTCCGCGCCAGCTCCCCCTCGTACCGCGCCCGGCAGTCGGCACGTACCGCCGCGCGGCACAGCCGGTTCAGCCGCTTGTACTCGGCCCGGTCAGCGGAGCCGAGGGCGGCGCGGCGGTCTCGCAGCAGCTGCCGGGTCTCCGGCGTGACAGGCACAGCGGCAGGCCGCCTCTCCCGTACCCGCCTCAGTGGTGCTACGGTGTCTAGCTGAGATATCAGGATCCGCTGAAACCGGTCCCACTTGGTGTCCGTTGTCGGTGCTGCGAAGACCGGTAGCCAGTCGGCGGCGTAGAGCTGCTGATTAAATGCCGGGAAGTCCACACGTGACAAGGAACGTCGGTATACCATAGAGCCGGCCGCGTTCAACGGGTGAGCCTCTCGCGTAAGTAATACACGTGTGAAATCATGCGGCCCTCCGTAGTGACAGCGGGTAACGCCCGCTCTACGGACCAGGTCGCGGCGGTTGGTAGCAATAACGTCCAACAAGCTGGCGGCGGGACGATAAGTAGGCACACTGACGTTGGCGATATGAAAACCATAATTAGAAAACAACGTGCTTAGAGCATGCGGCGAGCTAGCTTGTCTGCTTCTCAACAAACAGTTGTTGAAATCGCCTGTGATGACAACAGTTGCTCTCGGAAAGCGAGCGAGCATAAACTGAATCTGGCACTCTAAATCGTCCAGATCAGCAGACAGCTGTTGCACAGTGTTCGCCGGCACTCGGTATGCGGACGCGACAAGCAGTGATTGATTCCTGCCAGTGTGGACTCGAACCCACAATATTTCTAAATTGGAGTTGGCAACGCCAGTGACAGGAGTCGGTATCAGTTCGGAGCTAAATTCCTCACGCACGAGCACCGCCACACGGACACCTCCCTTCCCACGCGGCAGCTTGAGCTCGGCTGGTCTGTCTCGCCGGTACAGCGTGTAGCCGCTCACGGAGAGGAGGCGGTCGGGGACGTTTGGAGTAAGCCAGGTCTCACAAAGTGAGAGCACGTGGAATCCGTACACTTGCTGGATGTCGTGTCGGATGTCTGGTAGCTTCGGCTTATAGGACTGGATGTTGAGATGTCCAATGAGTAGGTCAGATCCAGTGTCGCCGTGACGCTGCCAGTTGACTCCGCCCCTCTGCCCGCGCCGCCTGGGCGCGCCTCTGCGACCGCGGCTGGCTCGCTCGGTATCGGGGGTCGCGCCTACCTGCTCTCTCACGGGCGGCTGCGCGCGCAGCTGACGCCCGGGGCTATGGGTCAGGTCAGCGGCGGGCAGTCCGGCCGCGGCGCGGCCCGGAGCACGTCGCCACGGGCGCTCGGCGGGCTGGGCGGCGCGGGTGATGGCTTGCAGCAGATGAAGCGTGACGATAACTCGGACGAGCATCGCGGCGATCATGATCACAGCAGGTTAGGAACAGGCAGCACCGCTGCACTGACCAGTGACAAGTCCGTTGGCTAATCAATCGACGCACGTCCCGATCAGGTCATCAATTCGCTCACTCAGTTCACACATCAGGCAGCACTCTCTCACTTGCACGCAGCGCTCACTGAAGACTCAACTCACTCACTAACTCACAGTCACTGATTCGCACATTCGCTCGCTCCGTTCAGTCGCTCAAGCACTCGCACACACTCAGGCGACAGGTAACTCGCGCACGGGGTGGTGAGAGGAGAGCCGGGAGCGCTGCAGCCCGTGGCGCTGCGCTGAGCCAACTGAGGCTTTGGTAGCTTCTTCAGCATGATGCTGTTCTCGTGCTGGTCATCCAACACTCGGAGGTGGCCAGATGCACTTGACGCAGCTTGGCACTGCTCCAGGAAGTCAGCAAACTCCCTTAGCCCCTTTCCATCTCCGCTTCTTATGGCAGGCCAGCTACGGATTCTGTTCTTGAGTGTTGATGCCTTCACAAACTCATTTCCATACCTGTCCATGAGCATGGTCTTTGCCTGCTGTGTCCTTTTTCATAAAGCCTGGAATTGTAGAATTGTAGTTGTACTTTGTAGATTTGTACTTTCGATTGTACAAATCTGTTTCATAAAGGAAAAAGTACAATCCGAAAGTACAAACTACAATTCCACAAACCTACAACTCACATTCGGCAATTATCAGCCAAAAAACTAGCAATCTGTTTCATAAAAAGAACGGTTCCTCTGATTTTGGGATTTACTTGACGGAAAATACAATCGAAATCTACAACGCCCTAACCGTGTGTAGATTTTCGAAGATGA